AACGTGTTAGGTTTTCGTCTGGCAAGCGCTCTCTCTATCTTCATCATTGTACACGTCAGCTAGAGGTGGGAAACACCTCAGCTACTGTGCCGCAATACATAAAGGAAAAGGGAAAATAAATACAAAAGTTGCATGCCAGCTGAGCTACCAGCAACGGATAGGCATCGTTCCGGTAAGCTACCAGGCAAAAACAAAAATTATTATGTTTTACGCTAGGAAATGAGATCGTAGGTGGAGGGGAGGCTAAAATGGATGGCGAGGGACAAAGAAACTCACAGCAGGAACGCCACTGAGGTCGGCTCCTTGCCATGTCAGCAAGTGTGTCCAGCCAAACGTGTTCACCGTCTTTTGGACCCTACCAAGGAGCCGTGACGCTCCAACCGAGGCCAGCACAGAAGTGAGGGCCTTTGTTCCTCTTGACCAAGTCATCGCTTGGCCACCCCTCCTGCTTTTCCATCCACATCCCCGGTGAGCAAACAACGCACGTCGTGGAAGTCGATGGGCTGGCATGCGCAACACGTGGCCGAGCCATCGGAGCCTGGTGCGTGAAATGACGGTGCTGAGCGGTTCAGTTCCTTTTCCTGTGTCGTAATCAAGGCGTCGAACACGCTCGTTACTCACGCGGTGTTCCCACCAGATGTGAGCCAAACTGCGAAGGCAGCGATGGTCGAACGTAACTAGCCTCCTTATGTCCACTGATCTAAGGGGCCAGGTTTCGCAACCGTACAGTAAGGTCGAACGTACCGCTGCATTGTACACTCTACCCTTCAGGGCGAGAGTAATGTCGCGCCGCCGCCATACGTGGCGAAAATTAGCAAAAGTACTTCGAGTTTTTGCTATACGATTCGTGAGCTCGTCTTCGATCCCAAGGGCGCTGATACAACTACCCAGGTAGTTGAATTTCCGAACGACTTCTAGGTGATCCCCACCAAGGGTCGGCGCAGGAGGCGATCCCTACCAATCTTGGAGGAACACTTTGCACTTCGATAGTGCAAAGCAAAGCCCGAAGCGACTGACAGCCAGTGCTAATCTGTCCAGCGCGGCTTGGCACGTCTGGGAGCTGTCACAGATGAGGGCAATGTCGTCCGCATACTCCAAGTCGTTCTCCTGGGAGTAGCTCCACACCTTCCAAGTCATGTCCTGTAAATGCAATCTCCATGACTTCGTCAATAGCGAAGTTGAAGAGGAAAGGTGACAGCGGGCATCCTTGTCCCACACCGCTGGAGATAGTAAAGGGCGACGACAGCTTGCCGTAAGCTCTCACTCTACCCATGATACGCGCGTATAATACTCGGATAATATTTACATATTTCTCGGGCACATCTTTCTTGAGTAGACAATTCCAAAGGGCACATCGATCAACCGAATCGAAGGCACCTTTGATGTCGAGGAACACGACTACGGTGGGCCGCCAATATGTGTGACGGTGCTCCAACCACTGACGCAAGGTGAAGATGTAGTCGATGCAGCCACGACTACGACGAAACCCGGCTTGCTCCTCACGAATCTGGCTTTCACGAGCGCCAGTCAGTCTGTGAAGAATTATGGAGGCGATGGAGATCAGACTGATTCCTCTATGGTTGCCGCATTCCGAACGCGAGCCTCCTTTGAAGATGGGAACAATAACGGAGCGGCTCCAGTCGGTTGGGACAGTCTCCTGCTCCCACAGTTTCCTTAGTAATTCATGTAAAGCATCAACAAGAGCAGAGCCTCCGAATTTGAAGAGGGCTGGAGGGAGATCATCTGGTCCCGCGGCTTTGTTCAACTTCGACAGTCCGATCTCACCTTCGACTTCTGAGCGAGAGGGTGGATCCAAAGGGACAGCCCACGGAGCGGGGCGGTCAGTGGCCGGCGAGGAATCGAATAATTCTAGCCGATTAAATTGCTTTTCAAAATGCTCAGCACAACGCTCCAAGCGTTTTGACAAATTGCGTATAGTTTCACTAACACCAGGTCTCCTGTTGCCCGTTTCCCGTATCAGACGAAATGACTTACAAAGGTTACCAAGGGCAGCGGCCACTTCCATATCTGGCGCACGGTGAGACCACCAAGATTCGCGGTCTCTTTTCAGGCTAGCACGAAGTCTTGCCCGGAGCTCTTTGCGAGTTTCATTGTGTTAGCTTCCATCCGGGATATGTCGGCGAGCGTCAATAAGTTCCAGAGACTGCGAAGGGACCCAATAACCATGTTGGCTATTAGACATACCACATGAGGATTTGCCTGCTGCCAGTAAGTTCTGGTGAACATGTGACCAGTTACCATCAATTGTCCCCGGTTAGCGCTTACTCAACTCGCATGCCAGCGTACTTCGATACGCATTCAGAACAGTTGGCTGATGTCAATGCGCTTACAGCGTCGTCGTGGGCGTCCGCCAAAACGCATCCGCACATCAGCACATACAAGTGCATGATCGGTGTCCACATATGTGCTCCAAATCGAGCGACAGTTCTGGACGCAGCCTCTCCAGCGGTAACTGATAGCAATGTGATCGATTTGATTCTAAGGCTGGTGGGCGCCAAGTCACCCTCCGGCGGGTGCTGTGTTGGAAGTTAGTGCTCGCAAGAAATAAGCGAGCATCTTCACACAAATGAAATAACCGCTCACCATTATCATTACGGGAGCCTACACCGTGTTGACCACCCAAGTGCATTTCATCAGTAGGCAGCTTTCCAACTTGCGCGTTCAAATCCCCAGCCAGCACAACAGTGTCCGTGCTTTTCTGTGGCGAAGAATCTGGCTCAGTTGGCGGCAAAAGGCGCTCTTTACCAAATCATCGCCGGAATATGTGGGTGCGTAGGCAGCGATGATGAATAGACAGCTATTAGTCCCGCGCGACTTCGAAGCTTTGAACGAGCCAGCCAATCGGACCGCACATATCAGGCTACTGATTAGAATCCAATCAACCAGAGCAGCTTCAGCCCGGGGAATCAGGGCAATGCCAACACCAGCTTGGCCGGTGCTCGAAGCTGCATCGTCACCGGATAGGTGCAATGAGAAAACACTGCTTGCGTCATCTGAAGGGGATCGCAGAGTGAGCACAGAGCTCGAGTTTTTCAGGCGGGTCTCCGCTAAGCGGCAGATATCGATCGAGAGGGTCTCCAATGTTCGGGCAAGTGCTGCCCTGTTGACCGATCGTGGTAATGTGTGTACATTGAGGCATGTTAATCTGAAGGAGGACCGAGGACTCTAAATGCAAGCCGATGAACTGGACATTGGCTTGTCTACAGGAGATGAGTGACGCTCCGCGTTCACATGTGAGTTGAAATTATAAGATAAATGCCTAGCAAAGCAAGTTGGGGAAGGGCCGATAATCGGGGGTTGAAAACTGGGGGGATATAAGTGAAGTTGGAACGAGACGGTAAGTGTGAAAAATCGTAAGAGGGGGAATAAGAAGACGGGAAGACTTGAGCAGTAGCATCCAAACCCCTATCCACCCTGCTCGATGCAGCAGATAGGGCACCGTTGATTATCCTCTGCGGTGGCCAGAGCATCAGTAATTTGAGGTAAGATTCATGGTATTCCGCGGGCAGGATACTGTCAGGTTGCCCAGGCCTAGACAGGAGAACAATTAGGGTTCTCAACCAAAGCCTTTGGTTCAAAAACCTGACCGCAAGGCAGCGGGTTTGGCGTTGGGCTACAAAGAGCCTGTTTTACGGAATAAGGTGCCACCCTCATTCCAACCAGGAGGCTGAGTTTGTTTGGTCTCTAACCATTGACCAATCTGGTATGAGTGACTCTGAAGGTGCAAAAGCACCACCCAGCATAGCTCATTGGATCGCTGAGGCACAAACCATCGCACCACGGTAAGGTCCAGTCTCATTGCGATGGCGTTCTCCCTATAAGAAGCCACAAATGCCTGTTTAATAACACTGCGACGTGGCGATTGTGATTTACCACAAACTAAAGTCACTGCTTCATGCTCATCCGGATAATCATATTCAGTCTACGGACGTAAATCAAGTCTTCCCACATTGGCGACGCGATCGAACAGTCAGAAATGCAGCTACACATTTACAAACACAAGCAACAGAGCTACAACATAAATACGTATATACATTCATTGCTACGAGAAACATGTATTTTTGTACATTTCCTGATCACTCGTCGTCTTCTTACCATGATCATACCTGCACAGGCGAGTCTCGCGTCGTCAAAAATAAATAATTCATTTATTTACTGGGGCTAGCACGACGCTTTTGCTTTTTTACAAGATGTTTCTCTATAATTTGGAACCCTGGTAGCCCGACTTGGTTGCTTCTCTCTCTCTCTCTAATTCATTTGAAGATGTTCCTGATTTTGCGACCGTATTCGATGGAGCACGGATTTAGAGCATTAACGCGTAATATTTTCTAAAGATTGACAGAGTAGGACATGATTAAACTCGATAATAGTGCAGAAAAATAAATCGTCCGGAAGATACGAATAAAATACAAAATACGCAGTCGGCAATGCAAATGATATTCCAACGAAAAATGACCGCATTTGAAGGCCCCGCCAATCTGGAGTCAGTTGTGATCAGCGCAGTGGGTCTCCCTGTCTCGCATCTTCCTAAGAACAAGAATAATGAATGACAGCAGGAAAGTGAAGGGGATAAAAACGCGAACGCAGAGAGAGAATCTAAAGATAGGAGGGAGTGAAAAAATAATAGTCGTCAAATAGATGGACTAGTTAGTAGAGCACTTTTAAATGGACTTGCTCGTGCGCACATTGCAGCATTGACTGCTCGGTGTTTCCACCACTCCATAAGCAAAGACAATTAAAGGTGGCGGAAAAGACGTATGCAATAGTCGTTCACGGTATATTGTGTCGCAAAGTTTAGGATGACGGGAGAAGTAAACCGAGTGGCGGTTCGTGAGATGGGGGTAGGGAGGGTAGTAGAAACAGTCGCTGTATAAAAAAAGAAGTGAGTGGAACAGAGAACACAGACAGGACAAGGCCTGAATGAAGAGTAAAATAGACAAATGGCATGGTCAGAAAAAAAGCTGTGAGAGAGGTTCTGTTTAAGGGCGCGTTCGATCACAAATGTGATTGTACCGGTTAGCATGGATCGCACTTGACCGTTGTGTACGGCAATATCTTCCATAGTGACAATCCGGGCGTGAGACCACATGCTGGGGGAGCTCGGTGGCAGGCAGACTGAGTCGCCATTGGTACGCCAAGTGCGAAAGACAACGCGTTGAACAGTCACGGCACAAAAGTGGATCGAGATCCACCGATCGACCTCCAAACAAGGAGGGGTCTAAGTGGTCCAGGCAAGCAGTCACAAAATCGGAAGTGCTTATATTCTTTTCTGACAAGTAGTCCTGCAATGGAAATTAAACATACAGGGTGTATTAAATGAGTGAATAAAATGGCTGATTAAATAGCAAGCGAGCAGAATGACGTGCGACTTGATAATGACATACCGACGCACCGTGACTATGGCGGTCTCGACTGTGTTGCCCAGTAGTAGGCCTGGGGGTAGGGCAGGTAGGTTCTTCATATCTGTGAGGGAAATCAAAACAACCATAAGCCTCCGTGACACCATTGATGAAGCGAAATGAACACTCAGCATGTACACCTTGGAAAGTTCACATACATAGCAAATAGGAACTCAGACGCTTGGCCAATGAAACAGCCCCTACCATGCCAGTGAGTGGTTCTATTCCCCATAGCGAAGACTCAACTTGATTGCCCCGGAGGAGCAACCCCGTTGACCCCCAGGCGTAAACGTTTTGCCCGAATGTCCAACTTCAATGGAAAATGGTATAGACTGGCGACCTAATTTCCGGTTGTCTCCAGTTGTCTCATCCGAACCTTACCCTATCCAGACAAATGCATGACCATAACTCGACAGAGGTAACAGCAGTATATCAGTACGTTGTGTCGATGCTTCGGTGGCATGTGTCAGTAGAGGTCTACCATAGGAGATTATTCATGGATGTACCATCACTGGAACTTTGAATTTAGCTGGCCAATGAGGGCGAACATATTTTAGCAATATGTAATAGCAAGGAATACTCTGTATAATGGCATGCTCTGCCATACAATCCAAATCATTTTACTGGAAAATAACGTTACAGCTCTCCGACCGTTATTATTCTTGTCTGAGTTGGTCGGGCCGAGACTTGCAAGAGTTGTATCGTGCCTCTCGGACTCTCGAGCATATGCGCCCCAAACGACTACACGCATGCTAGGCTACTGCGAGGCCATGTTGACCCATGCAGAATGGGGACCCAAACGTCATTGATGGATTACGCTGGAGCGTGTTGTTCGCCGAACCAAGTGTATGAGCTAAGCGTGCAGGAGACAAAGTGATGACGTAGAAACAACCATATAGGTTAACCGAAATGCCTGGTGTTGGTGGTGCGCGCAATCCAAATTAAGTAAGAAACTTGGGTATAAACAACACCTGTTGCCTAGATAAACTCCTGAGAAGTTCAGATGACCTATTTGCGCATTCAAATTTGTAACAACAACGATGTCTGACTGGGTTGCGCTACGTAGCAGCCTGTTCATTTGGTGGTAGGTGTCCTTGGCAGCATCAGAACTGCAATCGTTGGGGACATGAACGGAAACCACCAACGAACAGCGTCTATTGATACTTCGTATTGTCGTCGTATGGGCTGTACAAGACGACTGCTCACGGGAATCTAATCAACCAGCGATAAATCAGCCTTGGGGCCAAGAACAATGCCTACTTCAGTTTGATCAGTGGTTTCCTCATCAACGTCTTCGGATGGTAAAAGGACAAGTCGGGTGCAGTTAGCTTAACAACCACTTGTGAGTCACGGACACGCAACACACACCGACACTCAAGGTGTATGTTAGTGCTGCAGATGGCAGAACTTCAGTGGTATTGCAGCTGTTGTCAACTAGGCTGGGAAAATGTTGCGGGCACGTCAAAAATCCCCGCAAAAACACGCCAGTGACTCCGGCATAATGGCTGTGGGAAGCGGAGTCCAATTTCTCCCCACAACGCAGCAGTGTTCAGCCACTCCGAGGCGCGTCCCAACTGCGAACCTTTTGACAATGCTCATTTACAAATTACCACCTCTTCGTGGTGACAGTTTTCCTTAACTTAATAACCCATAGCACTCACTGTGATTGCCCTTTGTTGGTCGTAAAAGAGCCTACAGAGGACCACTTGTCTTTTCTTTCTCTTCGCCTCAGTTGGGAGTCGGTCGGGTCGCGTGATTGCGTGTGAATCGTTAGCTGGCCAGCCTTCACGTCTAAGTCATTAGCGCGCGTCTATCGTACCCCCTCTCGTGTGCGTCCGTTTTCGAGGCCTCAGCGTCTATACGAACAAGTGCGGCTAAGATCGTTCCCACGCTCGTTCAATTTTCCGTCTCACCGGCTAAGCCAGCGTCATCAGGACAGCGCAATTCCGTTCGAGCGGTCAGCGTAACAAGCAATTATCGTAGGCGTGCTCCAACCGTGCGAGCGACAATCTTGTCACGCAATTACCTCAAGAGGCGGCGTTCCCTCAATTATAACAGCGGCGACGACTAAGGCAATCTACGCAATTATAACAGAATTACAAAAGGAAGGTTAGTAATGAGGGTCAGAAGAGTAAGAGCAACACGTGAAAAAGAAAGGTCGGCAGTAGCATGCTTCCGCTTATCCGCCCTGCTGTGTGCAGCAGATAAGACGACTCTTCTAAGGCTGTGCAACGACCGATGTAGGATGCGGTTGAGATGTTGACAGGACGCGAAATCCTAAAGGATTCGCGTCCACAACCAGAGCTTTTGGTTTAAAAGCCTGTCCGAAACGTAGCGATCCCACTTTACAGAAATGAATGTCATCTCATTCCCAGTCCTAAACCAAGAGGAAATAGGAGAATGAGTTTGTCTGACCTCCATTCATTGAACAAGCTGGTAGGAGTAGATCTCAAAGGGCCTCGTGGCACCACCCAGTATCGCTCAATGCGTCGAAGACGTACACAAACTGTGGTACCATGTAAAGGCTCAGTCTAGTTGCAACAATAAATCAACGACTACACCACTAAGTATCCAAGAGTATGCAAGGCTTCATATGTCGGTGCACCAGGTGTTCCAGATTTTGTGGCCAATTTCAAGGTATAGTTGAACAACTATGGTCCGGGCACTGAAGTGCGGTGGTTCCAGTTGACACAATTCACTTCGCCAGAATAACAGTAGACAATGGTAAGAAAATGAGGTTAAACGCAAATGGAATCAGGCAAAAATAATCGAGATGAAGTGAAAAATTTACAGCGAAATGCAAGAACGCCATTGAGTACACCACTGAGCCACATCTGATAGATTCTCTAACCGCTGGTGTAAACCTTCCAGGGGCGCTTCATCCACGAAGATGGCACGCACCAACCTGAACAAGTCTCTCAGTTAATTTCCTCATACCTTTATATCACATCATCGACTGGCCACCTTGCGGTTTCGCCCGACTCGGTGCATATAATCCATGCCGAAGAAGCTTGTCAACGGGTATACGGGGACATTACCTAACCAGCCTGGGCGGTTGAGCCTAAGCAAACACTCGGGTCAAGCACCAAAAGGTTTCTTGTTAAAAAACCAAGTGGCAGACCTCAGCATTGCTCACTCGGTGTTCGCACCAGTTGCGAGCAATACTCCGCAACTATCGGCGATCAAAAACACGGTCGGGTGGTTAATATCTTCACTGCGGACTGTTGAGGTTTCTTATCCATACGCCAGTCTCATCGCAGGTCGGGTGTATACACCGCACTTTTCACTGACAGGCTAATATCCCACTGTCTCCATAGATGGTTGAGCCTCTAGAAAGCCAAACTTCCAGTTCACACATGATTCGTTTATACTATACGATGTGAAACAAAACAAACCCCGAAAAAATGTCAAACACAAGAAGCTGTTTCATATAGGTGTTTGTACGTGCTATACCGTCTTTGCTGATCTACATTCTTTCTAGTCCACACATTCGCTTCCTAAAGACAACCTGATACAGGCAACAAAGAGATAAGTATTGGCTACACAACTAAGCTACCTTTGAAAGTAGTAATGATGGCGAAACGAAGCTCAGTAAAATCACCTAGGTTCCTGTTAAGAGCATAAAGGAGCTGTAAAAAGACAACGTGGACTAAATGTGAACAAGGAAAACTGGTGGACTTAACAGAATGAGCCAGGGGAATAACCGTGGTGCAGAACTTATTTTACAAGAAAATTAAGAGCCGCACGAACACGATTCCGAGCTACGTTTTGAACACAGAAAAGATTAAGCACAGATACGTCTACATTTCATGACTTACCGCTAATGCGACTCAGGCAAGAAGTTCCACATCCTTGACAACCGCCAGAAGCAACCAATGCGCAGAAAGAACGCCGGCAACTCTCACATTCTACATTGTTTACATGAGATAATCCTCCTTGGTAGCTCGGAACAAGTCTGCCACAACAAGCACAAGCATTGTGAGAACTGCCTGACAAAGGTAGAAAGCGAACAAATCAGTTCGAGTACGGCATCATGATACACAGACGGGTGCATCGAAAAGTGGATTTTTGGCCCACTGATGCCAACTGTTTCTCAGAAATGGAGCCGAAAGTGAAGTAGCCTTTCCCATAGCCCACTCTGCGAAAGCTGGAGGTGTCATAGCGCGTAGATCGTGCGCTATATATCCGGTACGCGACTAGACGGCCAACCAAAAATAATGGATAGAAGACACAACAGTAAGCTAGGGAAAAGTTTATTGGACGGGAGGAGCGTTAGCTAATGCTGAAAATAGGGCACCCGGAGAGAGCTAGCTAGGGAGAATGTCGATGGCGTCGAGTGCGTTGACAGAGCGTCGTTCGCAATCGAGTCGCGCGCGCCAAAGGCGGAGATGGCGTTCGTGTTTTCAACAAACGGGAACAACGTTCCAGCAGGCAAACCGCCTAGTTCCCTAATACATAAGAAAGCTATAATTTGAATGTATTTTAAAATAGTTTACACAGTCATACGGGGGAATCTCCAGGTCGCTACAGTGTAGATGACTTCGGAACAGCGGTGAATAAAAACTGTGTCAACGTAGCAAAAACGACAACAGCAACACGTCAGTCGTTTGAACTGGTGCTTCGCCGCAGTACAACCACAATGACGTAGGTATTGAATAACAAAATAGGAAGAATGGGGACCTAAGTGCTCGGAGCAAACAGACATGGTCAAGGCACCTGCACCTTATCAACAACGAAAGATCACAAGCCTTTATCATGCGAAGATAAGGCGGCACCGGTCAGAGAGATTTCCTGCAGTTCCCACTGCTCCGCGTCATAATCAGCCATCACCATACAGATAACTGAGCAACAGACACAATTTTAATAAACAGTCCGACAGCAAACGCGCCACTATTCTCGAGTTCGAGCCATGTATTGTAACGTCTCTAGCAAAGCACAAGGCAGGTCACTCGGACTCCAGCCAGACAATCGAAACGGATCAACACCATCCGGTTTGGTGGTTCTGGCTCGAGCGCTGCACCATCCGGTAAGCGGTGACCAGACATACGTAACACGTACCTAAGCCAACGTAACCTAATCAACATTAGTTCTTGTTCCAAAGACCTAACCTCACTAGTACTCGCTTGCACACATCATCGTTCAGAATATGCTGCTGCCATCCGACACCAACAATGCTTCTATTAGTGCCGCTTCACTTGTGACTAGCTACAAAAGCAGAAGGCCAGGCACTAATATGAATCATAATGATGTAAAAACAATAATGATACATAAATGAGATTTATCACGTGTGCTTGTATGATGGTTTTGAGTCCAATACAAATTGCATTGCGATAACGGCGATGGCCACGTCGAGGCTTGAGCACGTGCACGTCCGTTGTCCGGGAGTTCCAGTTTGGTAGTGTGTTGCGCCCTGACATGACCTGTATCTGATGTGAATGCGGGCTAAAGTGCATTCCCAACTGTCACTTGCTTCGACACCGGCGTGGTAATGTGGAGGACAAAATGCTGTTTTGACGTGGCGTGTGATTAGGCTTTGCCATGTAGAGGGAAAAGAAAGTGCAATTCCACAAAATGAGTGTTTTGAGAAAGTGGCAAACGGACCTAACTCCTCACATACAACAATGATCAAACACTAGGAGGCGCATCAGATCGTCAGGCAGAAGGGGCAGTGTAATACTACAGTACAGTAGGACGGCTTTCACCATCACATTGTACACACGATGTCTTGACGCACAGGTGTCGCGGTTTTAAGAAAACGGTTCTGGCTTTTGCAATGCGTGGAATATCAACATTCATTTTCGACCAATTGTGTGCGTAGCCCGAAGTTAGAGCTTACAGGAAACCACAAAAGCAAGACAACGTCCAGTAAAATACGGAGACAATATTCCGGAGCAAGGGATTCTACAAACCGGGCGGAACCGCACACCGAGCTGGTCAGTTTGTTTGGGTTGTGTGCAAACTACCATACACGCTGTGTCACGCGAATAGGGGAGACAAACAGATGCAAAATGTCGAACTGTGAAAGACCAAGGGACTTGAGATGTTTCACGGTAGCAGAACAAATAAATCCGCGATTGTTCAAGATCAAAGTATTATGGATACTATTTGACACTTGTGGAAAGTGTAACTGCACATATCTAGAAATCGCACCCCGATATCACTTGTCCAATTTCAGTTTGTAGGTTCGTATCATGAGGTCTGCATCACAGAAAGCAACGTGGATAACATTTGCAGTAATAAGCTCCTTGACAGTGAGCAGGCCAGATTTGATAGAAGAGCACAAGGTGGGCATTTTACGTTCTAGTGTGATCTAAATACCCCAGATTGCAGTCACAAGCTATTCCGCGATGCCGTTATGTCTCTTACAGAGAGCATCATGTGTGACTTCGCATGACTGAAGGACGTGTGATAGCGTTTCCTTATGGCCACAAGCTTCACGGCAATGCAGAAGTGATGTTCAGATAAGTGGGCTACCTCTGACTCGATGTGTGTTCGTTGAGATGAGTATTACGCCCGAGTGAAATCAGAAACAAGTACGGAGCGATGGAGTATATCGTAGGCAAGTTAGTCATACACGTGTACGTTTAGTGGATAAGCAGGCAACGGTATACACTGAGTTCCATGTTGGTGTCCTGATTAGACAGCATGGGCCAATGAGCGCGTATGGATGCACACAAGACACACGCATGCACTGCGCGGTTGCCAGAGGTAACGCATAGGCGATCAGCTGAGGATGCACCACTACTCCTGTGATTCCAACTTTTCGAGCTGAGATCAGTCAATCGGTCGCGGACTGACCTATACAGCGGGGCTTCAACATTCAGCATGTCGTAGAACATTGGAAGTGAGGTGTTTGGTTCAGAATTACTCGGAACCTGATAACTTTGGATGCAGGTGACGTCTCATTACTTTGTCGTCCTCATTCGTTGCTTCTATGGTCTGTCCACTGGCTGTCTTCACAAGAGATGGCTTCCATCTAGGTTTTGTAGGCTAACTTATGTAGTTTGGAACCGACTCTGGTATGATTTTGTCTTTACTGTGAGCTCGTTCTTTTTTATTGTGGACTTCAGATCCCAGAGTACTGTACAATGTGTCTAGTCGCGTACGCAAACGACGGTCGAACATTAGCTCCGCATGACTTCTTTCGGTGATATTCTTCACCATGTTTCGGTAAAAAGTGCACCGTCCAGGAGCAATAGTTTGTTGAATCAGCATATTTTTCACTGTATGCACGATTCTTTCAGCTAAGCCATTTGCAGACGGATAGTAAGGAGCAGTAGTTATTGTCTAATTCCATTTGAAGCGAGAAGTGTGTGGGGAGCCAGCTTGCACTCGGCGTTCAAGCCGAGAGCCGTGGCGCAAGAAGGGATCGCTCTACATTTGGTGATCGAACTCAAGCAGAGGTAAAACGCAAATTTTTCGGGGTCAGCGGCAAGTTGAACCTGAATTTGAATTGTTTGAGTTGTGTTACCTGATATTAATTAAGATCTCTGATATTGTTGTGATAGTGGTTGCCTTCAACCTATTTATTTCGCTATGCTCTCATTCAATAAGAAACTCTCGGTCCTGACTGGTCTTTGGTGTTCTCATTTCGTCCAAATGGTTGCGGGTGGCACAACAGATTCCTGGCGACGGTCAGCTGCGCGATAGCAGCAGGTTATCCGTACTGTCAGCGGAAACCACAACAAAGTGGAAAACTCGTTGTCCAAAGGCAACAAATGTAGTGCGCAGCTGCTGCCAGAGTGGTAATCAGACCGCAACTGGGAACGAAACAATCGGGAATTAGGGTTAAAGCAGATAACATCGAGTAATGAAACAGACTTCATAGGGATTCAGGCTATCGGAATATCCACACTGGTCATTGTAAGTGAATCGAGCAGGTAACTCCAAAATTGTGCGATTGAATATTAATCGCACAGTTAAGACATTGTAAACAGACGCAGTAGAGTAAACCGGATCGGAAGAACAAAACAAATCAGGGAGCAGCATGCAGCCTCTCATATTGACCGGACGAACGAGATTTTAATGGCAGGAGCTCCGGTGGAGTCGATAAATGAGGGGATTTACTACTGTGTTAGTATGTGTCAGTGAGCGAGCAGAGGCAACCATACAAGCGGACACACGTAAGGGAATAAAGAAATGACAAAACTTCCCATCTTATCTGGTTCATCGCAATTAGATTACAAACCGCAAAGGTGAGTTATCAATCCTGAAAAGTACCGGACGAGAGTTGCATAATTTTGAGGCTCATCAGTGGTGCGCATTCCCTCGGTCCCCTGCTGCAGATCGAACTCGTGACCGCTAGTGGCTTGCACTACTACCCAGCAGCTCATGTCACTGAGCCATGAGGGATGACAGCCGGGCTATATCGGTTACATTTCAATCTGTGATGGTCGGCTATCGTCCCTCATGGCTCAGTGACATAAGTTTCTGGCTAGTGGTGTAAGCCACCACCGATCAGGAGTTCCATCCCCAGCAGGGGATCGAGAGAATGCGACCAGATGAGCCCCAAAGGGGCAAAACAATCGTATGGTGCTTTCTCGTATTGGCAGCGCACTTTTACGGCTTGTAATCTAGTTGCAACGAACCAAATAAAATCGTACCGAAATCCGTCTACACATTAGTAACAAAAAGTTGATATTTTGGCACACATAAAATGGTCTGATCTACAGAGTACCACCGACTGGTCTACGTACACCATTTCCCCGGGAAAGTTTTGCAATCAACCCCATAGTAAATCTGATTTGTTAGGTGGTGTGTGTTGGGACCGAGATGGTGGCAGTCGGCGACCAAGCAAGTGAAAGCGATTGCATCATCCACTTGAAAGCAGAGGCGTTTCCGCTGCAGTCCTCCAAGCTGGAGAAAACTAAAGGCAACTAAACGCTATGCATTTCGGCTATGAGGACGTTTGGGGAGCAACGTAAACATTCTCAATGTGAGGGATAACGAAAGGGCCGGATGGGTAGTGGTGGCGAAAGTTAAAGTTATACTTATCGTAAGACAGATATGAGTTCGTGTGCTACATCGTCATTGGAAAACAAACAGGTGGTCATGAAGCTGAGCAGTACTTAGAAGTGCCGTGTAGGTGTAGCGGGACCAGCAGCAACAGTGGATAGGTATTTAGTTGGATAAGACCCAATCGTGAAGTCAGCGACCATCTTCAACCAACCATTGCTGATTTTTTGTCAACGTTTACCTTGATTTAATTTATAGGCTCGAGGTCACTTGCTCAGGACTCTACCATTTTTCTTCCTTATCAGGGCAGTTGCCGTAGTGACAATCACATCCGGCGCACCTCCATTGTCGGTTTGCGGCTGGGGAAATGAGCTAAGCCGATATTCGTGCAATAAACTTGCAAAATTAGAACCATGTACAAACATAAGCAGATATGACAAAAAGTGCTCACAATATGGTGGACCAGTACTCATTCCTCGATGCCAGCCACAAACAACACAGGCGAGAGTGAAAGGATTCGCTGGACGAGGGTGCCTGAGACCTGAACTGGGAAATGGGAATAGATGTCAGAAGGCGGAATTCAAGGCAGACGAGGCAGAGATTGTTAAAAATATGGTGTGATGTAACACAAAATTCTCCTTGGTAATCGTATGCTAAAAACGCTGGATCGCACCAAGTTTGATACATTAATGCACAGGCCTGTTGGACCGGGCAACACACTACTGGTGCATGGCAAGATAAAGTACATAAAGTCAGAACCAGGGAATAGGTCATAAGATAATACGCATATGGTGGTGAAGTGGTGACAGCAATATATCAGTTCGCGAAGTAACTTCTGTCTTAATAGAGGGTTTCGGTGCTGCTTTCTTCCATATCACTACACTCCACGACTGTTTTCGTTCGCGTTGCAGTGAAGTATTAATGGGACTGTTCGTGGAAACATGTAGCATTCATTATAATGAAACCAGGTCCTGACGTGGTGTGATGGTACGCGTGACTCGATGAACCATTGAGCTATGCCGCATGGAGCATTTTGCATCTTCAGAAACAATCATTTTAGATTAGTCCCCTTGACCTCCAGGTTGGGGTTGAATTGAAGGTGGTGCTTCAAAGCATCTTCTTTAACTCAGTGTCAAACACTCGCCACACTGCGGTTAACGATCTCTTGTCTGGGCATGCACAGTCTCCTGCTCGCGTAACACGAGAAGCTTCTCAAAAAATTTCTGATGCTGTGGCCGTCGCAAACGACAACCAATGGCGCCTTATATGTTGCATGGAGTGGGGTGCATGGGGATGAAGATGTGAATGATCAGGCCTTCTTGTTTTCTTATCACTCCTCTTAGGCGTTTTCATCTTTATTATGCCGTGCCAACCAAACTTATTCCCTTTTCTAAACACAAAATTCCTAAAGTTCTCCTTTCTACCTTTGTTAGGCAGTTTTCCTTTAATTTCGGCTCACAGGTAATCGCACAGCGTCACACCCCGATTCCACCGATAAGTTCATTTCTATCCAAACGGATAACTTGGCCTTATTTGCTTCTATTCGGAGTCCTCCATCCTCCCTATGACTGGCATGATTCAACGTGCGCAACCGCTACGGATCGATCCACAGGCAGCACATGCTAGAAAATTAAAGACCCTCTTGACCGATATCTGGTGTTTGTAGGAAACTCGCCTGCAAGGCTTGAGCTCTGTACTTACCATGTGATCCTCTCCATGTAACAATGACGGCTCCTTCTCATTGCATTTACCTGGAGATAACGTAGTTTCGATTCCCTGTCAAGTCGTGTGCGTAATGCTCTGAACAACTGCAGTTCAATCAGTAGCCATTGGAGTAACCACTTTTGGTCTGCCAAAGTTGTGATGCTCTCTTAAACCCTGTGATATTTTCACATATTTTTGTTATCTTCAAAAGGCGAGCGACAATGCTCTTAGCTTCTCGCACTAAATTACATAAACATTGATATCTCTGTGACCAACTTTTACTGAAGTTAGATATCACACAGATGCCTGGAACGTAATACAGGGGATGAGTGGTTTACATTAACGGCAAGTATAACCTCTATGATTGAGGTTTTGTACGCTAACTTGTTTTTCACCTTCGTCTAGATTAGTTCGCTCTACTTGATTGCTCCGTTGTCTATGATATATCACCGTTGCATCGTTTAATCAGTACATCCTTACGCTGCTGACATGTACGCTTTTTGATTTCGAAAACTCATTATGACCATCATAAAGGTTCGCTGTTCGTCATATGTCCAATTTAGTTTGTGAACAAATACTCCATCAGTTTTCCACCAGAATATGCTTAGAGCTGAGTACTATTTTCGCATCAGAGGTTATGATCATCTGTGGTTATTTGTTGCGTAGTTTGTTTCCTTCCACAGATGCATCGTGTTGTCGAAATTCATAATGTGACAACAGCAGTGACCCGTTATTCATGGATGGGATTTGTGGCCAAATCCGACCTCCCAATGGCTGTAAATCCTGCTGATGCACAATCTTCCGGCGACGTCACATCTAGTTGAACGAGTGATGAACCGATAAATGTGCCAATTTGTTACCCCATAGTTGTTTACGGTCACGCCACCAACTGCTCTGAATGAGAGCTGCTTCAATTCTTTCGAACTCATCATCATCATTATACACATCAGCTAGAGGTGGGAAAACACCTCCGCTATTGTGCCGCAAGATTCATTCTTTCGAACTGAAGAACGTCGTTAGCACATATTCACATGATATGACGTACTCACCTTTACCGCCCACACTAGATATGTACGGTGGACAGGCACTCAGGATTCCGCTATCACCCATGGAAAACACTTTAATGAACCAGTTAAGTGCCCCTGGTACGCGTCACTTAGTTAGGTATACTTCAGCACGTCAACCTTGCAAACGACAACCGCAAAAAGAGGACAGTAGATAATCGAGGGAATAACCGCAAAAAAGTACACCGTAAGACCTGCACTGCACACTGTTTCCGCTACACAGGCGAAAACACTGCACATACGGATAAGATCCACGGCGGACACACCAAATAGAAGATCCCCAGTGCCAAACGAAAGAAGTTGCCTGCCTTCAAAGTGTAAAATACAAAGCGTGAAAAGTCAGATCACTGAGTAGATGGAAAAGATGATTTAAATGGAGCTAAATCGAACTAAATAATCTAGTACTGCTTTAAGACGTGCCAAGCAACGCTGGACAGATTCGCGCTGGCTGTCAGTCGTTTCGAGATATGCTTTGCACCCCTAAAATGCAAACATCTCAAAGAATGGTATAGACCCACTCCTGCGCTGACACTTGGTGATGATCAATTGGAAATCGTCCAGAAATTTAAGTACTTAGGTAGCTATATCAGCGCCGGTCGAATGGAAGATAAGGTCATAAACCATATAGCAAAAGCTCGACGCGATGTGCCAATCTCCGCCACCTGTAGTGCCGACGAGACATCACTCTCGCTCCAAAGCGCAGAGTTTATAGTGCAGCCCTCCGTTCAACCCCCCATTCACCGAACGGTTGCGGAACCTGGCCCATCAGGTCGACAGACATAAAGAGGCTAGTCACGTCCGACCATCACTGCCTCCGCAATTTAGCTCATGTCTGATAGAAACACCGCATGAGTAATGAGCGTCTTCGGTGTCGTGTATTTGCTGCAATAAGAGCGAGTGAACCGTTCGGCACCATTATTTCACGCACAGGCTCCGATGACTTAGCCACGTGCTGCGCATAATAGCACACCGACTCTCACGACGTGCGTTGTTTGCGCGACCGGGGTGTAGATGAAAGAGGAGGAGGGAAGTGTGATGGTGGATGAGGCCGGGAGAGAATGTAATCGTTGCGGTACCGATGTACCCAGGACCAATCAGACGAAAGCCGAGTGAGCACGAGTGGTCCGGCCCAACGTAAAGAAGGCGTGCTTTCGGACAGCTGAGAAGCGGATATGTCGGCCATGCGACGGGCGGATAGCACACGCCTGATTTCATCTTAACAACACGCTCCGCTATGGCAAATAGCCAACCTTGGGATCATCGACCAAATCGGCGGACGGACAATCAGATGCCACCGTGCAGTCTATCCGGGATGGCAACAACGAGGCCCAAAATAACCCAGGACTAGATAAGCGCGGATCCGTCCGTCTGGAGAACGGGCACGAACCAGTGGGATGCAGCCATCATAGGTCAGTTAACAACAGCCAGCCAGTGAATGGACTGCAACAGAAGATTATATGCACTTTATAAATAACTGCGAATCTTCTTAATAATGAGTTGTGATTGTTGCCCAGAATTTGTTCCACTCCCGGACGGCTACACGACATGGAGCGCAAGCGATAACTTGGTCAAGAGGAGTGAAAATCTCACTCTGAACATGCCGTCGGTTGGTGTCTCCCGGCTGCCAGATTGGGGAGGGGAGTCCCAAGGACCATAAACACATCTGGATGGATACACAATGGCCTTTTTTGTCCTTTTCAATCCCCTCAAACTTCTGCTTCTATCAACGACTTCGTACCTAATTCACAATATTATATTTAGCAGTATATTACTTATATGGTTTCGCAATGAGGCTGGACCTTACCATCCTCAGAGATATATTGAGCTATGCGGAGTAATGCGTTTTTGCACCTTCAGAATCACTCACACCACATTGGTTAATGGTTGGAAGCCAGACAAACTCAGCCTCCTGGCCCTCCAGGTGGCGGGGTTGGAATAAGGGTGGCTCCCTATTCCTTAAAACGGACTCTTTGTAGCCCACCGCCAAACCAGTTGCTACATGGTTAGTTTTTTGTTGAAAACCCTAATGATTCTTCTGTCTAGGCCTGGGCAACCTGACAGTATCCTGCCCCCTCAATACTATGCATCCTTTCTCAAACAATTTCCTCATGCTCTGGCAACCGCAGAGGACAATCAACGGTGCCCCGTCTGCTGCATCGAGCAGGGTGGGTAGGAGTTCGGATGCTACTGCTCAAGCCCTCCCGTCTTCTTATTCCTCACTTACGCTTTTTCACCCTATTCGTCCCGTTCCAACTTCACTTTTATCCCCCCAGTTTCCAACCCCGATTACTGACCCTCCATCACCTTGGTTTGATAGACGTTTATCTTCTGGTTACAACTTACAAAGGCGGAGCGTCACTCTTGCCCCATCGACAAGCACATGTCCGACCAAGCGGTCAGGCCCAGTTCATCAGCTTTCATTTGGAGCCCTCGATCCTCCCTCAGATTGGCATGTCTCAACGTATAGATCGGTCAACAGGGAGCACTTGCCTGAACAGTAGAAACCACCTCGATCGATATCTGCTGCTTATCGGAGATCCGCCTGCAAGATTCGAGCTCTGTGTTTACCTTGCGATCCCCAAGTGAAACCGGTAGTACTTTCACACTGCATCCATCCGGTGACGACGCAGCTTCGAGCATCGGCCAAGCCGATGTTAGCATCCCCCTGAGTCCCCGGGCTGAAGCTGCTCTGGTTGTTTGGATTCCAATCAGTAGCCGGATGTGTGCGGTCCGATTGTTTGGCTCTTTCAAAGCATCGAAGTCGCGCGGGACTAAGAGGTGTCTATTCGTCATCGCTGCTTACGCGCCCACAAACACTAGCGATGATTCGGTAAAAGACGACTTCTATCACCAACTGAACGATCTCCTTCGACACAGTAGACGCACGGACACTGTAGTGCTGGCTGGGAATCTGAACGCTCAAGTTGGAAAATTATCCACTGATGAACTGGGCGACCAACAGGATGTAGGCTCCAGTGATGATAATGGTGAGTGATTGCTCCATTTGTGTGAAGATGCCCGTTTATTTCTTGCGAGCACTAACTTCCGGCACAGCACCCGCCGGAGGGTGACCTGGGGCTCACCAGCCTCGAAACAGCCATGGGCGCAAATCGATCACATCGCGAGCAGTTACCGCTGAAACGGCTGTGTTCAAAGACTGTCGTTAGATTTGGAGCAAATGTGTGGACACCGACCATGCATTAATATGTGCTGACATGCAGATGCGTTCTGGCGGACGCGCACAACGACGCTGTGCGCATGGACGCCAACCAACTCACGAAATCAGCTGTTCTGGATACGCATCGAAGTACGCTGACATGCGAATTGAGGATGCGCTCACTGGTCTCTTGTTCATCAGACCTTACTTGGAGCAGGCAAATCCTCATGTGGCAGGTAATAACCAACATGGACATTGGGTCTCTTCGCGGTCTCTGGAACTTAGCGATACTCGCCGGCACATTCCAGCAAGAATGGAACACAATGAGACTCACAAAGACCTAAGGGAAAAACTACGTGCTAGCCTGAAGAGAGACCGCGAATCCTGGTGGTACTTTCGTGCATCAGAGATGGAAGTAGCCATCTGACACGGGAAACGGGCAGCAGGAGATCTGGTGTTAGTGGAACTACGTGACGAGAGTGGAAAGCCTATCCACAACTTGTCAAAACGATTGGAGCGTTGGGCTGAGCACTATGAAATGGTTTAATCAATCGGAATTCTCAGATTTCCCGCCGGTCACTGATCGCCCTGCTCCGTGGGCTGTCCTTTTGGATACGCCCAATCGTTCAGAAGTCGAATGTGAGATCGGATTGCTGATGTTGAATAAAGCCGCGGGATTAGATGGTCTTCATCCAGCAATCTTTAAATTCCAGGGCCTGTTCTTGTGAATGATTGACACGAGCATTAAACTGTCCCAACTGACCGTCATTGTCCCAATTTTCAAGGGAGGCTCACGATCGGAGTGCGATAACCGTAGAGGAATTAGTTGATCTCCATCGTCTCCAAACTGCTTGCCTCTGTCATCTTTCACAGACTGACTGGCACACGTGAAAGCCAGATTCGTGAAAAACAAGCAGGGTTTCAGCGAGGCCGTGGCTACACCGACCACATCTTCACTTTGCGTCAGTTGTTGGAGCACCGTCACCCATATTGGCGACCCACCGTTGTCGTGCCTTCGATTCGGTTGACTGATGTGCCCTTTGGGACTGCCTACTCAGGAAAGGTGTGCCCGAGCATTATACGCGCGTAGCTCAGGCACAGTGAGGGCTTACGTCAAGCTGTCGCAGCCCTACAATATTTTCAGCGGTGTGAGACAAAGATGCCCGCTGTCACCTTTCCTCTTCAACGTTTCTATTGACGAAGTCATGGAGATCGCGTTCACAAGACAGAACTTAGAACGTGGAGCTGCTCCTAGGAGAACGGCTTCTTGACTTGTAGTATGCTGACGATATTGCCCTCATCTGTGACAACTCACAAACGTGCAGAGCCGAACTGGACAGATTAGCACTGGATGTCAGCCGCTTCGGACTTTTGCTTTGCACCCTCGAAGTGCAAGGCTTTCCTCTAAGGTTCGCATGGACCGCCTCCTTCGCTGACGCTTGGTGGGGATCAGCTAGAAGTCGTTCAAAAAATTTAATTACCTGGGAGATTGTATCAGCGCCCTATGGATCGAAGATGAGATCACGAACCGTATAGTAAAAGCTCGAGAGGCTTTTGTTAACCTACGCCACTTATAGCGCCGGCGCGACATCACTCTCACACTGAAGGGTAGAGTGTACAATGCAGCGGTACGTTCGATGCTACTGTACGGTTGTGAAACCTGGCCCCTTAGACCAGCGGACATAAAGAGGCTAGTCACGTCCGACCACCGGTGCCTTCGCAGTTTGGCTCACAACTGGTGGGAACACCGTGCGAGCAACGAGCGTGTTCGACGCTTTGTTTACGACACAGGTAAAGGAAATGAACCGCTTAGCACCGGTCTTTCACGCATCAGGCTCGGCCACATGTTACGCATGCCAGCCCACCGGCTCCCGCAACGTTTGCGCGCCGAGGGCATAGATTAAAGAAAAAGGATGGTCAAGCGATGTCTTAGTTGAGAGAAATGAAGCCATCACTTCGAAGCTGGTCTAGGTTGGAGCTTCTCGGCTGCCTGGTTGGGCTCCGAAAGACGATGAACACATTTGGCGTGATACACTTCCTGATACGACTAGGAGCCGACCTCAGTGGCATTCGTGGTAGTTTCTCTGTTCGTCCCAACCCTCTTAGCTTCCTCATCCAACCACGATCTCATTTCTTAGCATAATATAATAGATGAAATTTTTTTGCTGCATAGTAGCCGGCTGGTAGCTTTCCGGAAAGATGCCCATAGGCTACTGGCAGCTCAGCTGACATGCAACTGCTGCACTGTTTTAATTTTATGTATTGCGGCACAGTAGCTGAGGTGTTTTCCACCTCTAGCTAAAGTGTATGATGATGATGATGATGTATGATTTTGGTATTTTAGGATGTAATGTTTAATGTCTTATCTTTTTGTATTGCGGCATCTTAGTTAAAGTAAGCTTCTCACCTACAGCTAGGGTGTGTTGACGATGAAAATTGGGACTATGGCGAAACGCCTCCGGTCGGTCACAGTGAAAGTCATATGCATGATACAAAAACCGGGTTTAAAAGTGTGTTTAGATTCATGGGACTAATTCGCCAGTATTCTAGACATAACGGATAGAAAATATAATCAGATGAACATCCGTAACTAGGGAATAGAGTTAGATAACTCACTGTTGAGTGGCTCCCTCTGTAGCAACGGCGTCTGCGGCCTACAAGAAAGTAGAAATATGAAGCAAGAACTCGCTTTAAGAGCGGCCAGGTCTTCGTCCCATTTTTTCTTCTCCTCATCTCTCTTTGCTTTTGCTAAATAAGAGTATGTAAATGTGCGCAATCGCCAAGTTACACGGAAGTTCACGCAAAAACAACTCCACTAAAGAGTTGAGCTGGTGATTTTTGGCGTACTCACGAACAGGTTGGCGGCACTGAAATCATTATGCTTACGAGACTCGGGTGCAAGGAAACTCACGATGGGACAAATGTTCATTACTTGCTTCCACTGAAGCCAACATAATGTGCAAAAGCTGTGTAGACATGGCTGTAAACTAGTGGAAACAAGATAACAACGTTCAGCGTCGACTGACATACCTGCAACATGTATAAAATATATTTCCACATATTAGGCAAGATAAATAGCTTTCTAATTCATTAGCAGTATTCGACGCGCCGGATATTGCCCCTGAACGTGTGGCAGAAGGCGGCAACACAGATGGGCTGTTAGTACTAGAAGAATCCGGCAGATCACACAGTATTTCTAGGTTAAATCCAACAGCTATCAGAGAATTAAGGAAGAAGTAGTTTTGACGAACATTGCGAAGGATAATCCGGGGAATATAACAAGTAGAAGACATCACCGGTCCGTATCTGTATGGGATCATGAAGTATGCGGCTTCCATTCAGAAACGTCCCGGACTCGCTGAAAAGGTGAAAATGGGGTATCCGACTAACCTGAAATTACAAAGCCAAATTAGAAGGTTCGGATCTTTCATCAAAAGGCAGTGTAATCCAGACACCTGTGGATGCGGCAAAATGATGTCACAATCAAAACAGTTAATGATGTTGAATAATGACAACGTACAAACCTTGCGAACAACCGAATCGTATTAGGTCGGATCCAACGTCAAAAACAGAATCATCGAACGTCGACTTTAATCTCCCCCAAGGATTTCCACAGTCCCTGCGGTTGTATACAATCTTCAACTCAGTGGCCATGTTGGAATGATTCAACAATTCAGTATGATGCGATTCAATACACATGCTCCGAAAGGGAATATTCGGAGTACCTAGGAGAATAGAGAAAAACACCTTACATTTGTCATGAATTACAAACCACAAATAATTTGAACAGATGCTTTGCTGCTATACAACCAGGATAAATTTAGTAATAAGACAGATCCAAAGCAAAGATTCATGGCCACACAGGGACAAACAATCGTGTCATGCAAAAATAACTCGGCATCGATGAAACAACTCCAGTGCGACTTGTACTATTGAGCGTCATAAGTGCCCTCAGCGATAGACACCTCAGAAGTAGACATACTTGGTAAAGGGAAGCAAGAATCCATGAACAGTCCTGAGGGACTAAAAGCACTCAGTTCAATCGTCCATGTCCTTGATCCCCGCCGCCAAATCAAATTTCACTCTTCCCGAGCACTGTGGCAAACAAAACGAGACTCTTATCGACAAGGTGATAAAATGTGTTCAATGTCAAATGATACGATGAGCACGCGCCGGTGTTCATCGTCATTGCGGATACGTTTTTTTTACCAGACATCAGCAATGCAGTGCAAGTAACTGTAAGCAAGAATATGGAAAGTCATCAGCAACACGCTGGGACACCGTATCGACACTTCGCAGCCATGTGACACCCACCATTCGTGTATGGGCTGGCTAAATTGCGAGGTCACACAAATTTCGGAACGTTTGAATCGGCAAATATTATACCTTCAGCACACAGTCGACGAGTAAGAAATTGAAAGCCTCGCATATCCCCCAACCGAAGGGGGCAAGTTTCATTCCCATACATGATAATCCTCACTGCGGCTCTACAAACACCGAGGGAAATATCTCGCGATTAAACAGATTTCAGTGGCAGGAATATTTACATGGTGCCAAACCTATGTATTTGTAAAAGAACGCAATTAGTCGTTAAATCATTTAACAACTATCCATGCCCAAATCACTCGGAATAGAAATCGAAAGACTGTTAAAACATCTCCAGAGAACATAAACGGGATTAAGGGTACAAAAATCATACGATTGTTCGTATCACGACGCGTCATCATCATCATTATCAACGACAACAACAGCAGTACAACAGCCATTTGAACTGATGCTTCGCTACCATACAACCACAACGACCTACGGAACGAAAAATATAAAAAGGGAGAGGAGGGACACGCCGCAAAAACATAATGCGCTAAGCCAACATTCTGGGTCAAGACACCTACATCTTGTCAAAAACATGACAAGGTGTAGGTGTCAACAACAGGTAGGTTGAAGGTTGTCAACAACATGGTCGGCCGGCGGCCGAGTGGTCTGCACGTTTGCTTTGCAACCATAAGGTCATCGGTTCGAATCCGCGTTGGGGTGGGCATCCTCGCGGTATACTCAGCCCGCACGCGACTGGTGGTGGTCGCGCGGCAGCGAAGCGCCGTTACGGCGTACAGCTGACACATTGTTTATTATTATTATCAACATACCGTCACGAACAGCTGCCTATCGTGAAAAGACAAGGCCGCATCAGTGAGATAGGTTGCTTGCGGCTTTCACCGCCCAGCGTCGCAATCCGCTATTATACCCCAAATAACTCCACCAAACACCATTTAAACAGACAATCCGACTTGGAGACCGCAGCTGCGCACCATTGGTGCAGAATGCGAGCCATACCCTGTAAAGAAGTTTCAAGCCAAGCACAAGGCGAGACGGACCGACGCATCCAGTGTGGTCGTCAGTGACTTCATTTCCCGCTGCCAAGTCAACTTTTGTCCACCGCAATCTTTGCGCCAGGCAAAACAAGGCTCTCCTCAATAAGCGGTGACCGGGCATACGCAGTACGTGCCCAATCCAAAGCAACTTATGCAGTGGTACCTGTAATTTTAAGGAACTTGCTCGGGTATCATTGCTTAGCACTCGCCTACGCACATCGTCGTTGCGGACACGCCGGTGCCACCCGGCACCAGCGATGCTCCACAGACAGCGATGATCAAATAGATGGAGGCGCCTCACATCTCCAGACCGAAGGGGAAAGTCTCACTCTCATAAAGTAGGACGGCCCTCATTGTGGCACGTAAAATGTTCACATATTTAATGGGAACACCTTTCCGCGCAAGTATTTCGAGCGGAATGCATCGATCGACTGAATCGAACGTACCTTAAAGTTGGGGAACACAACCATTGTCGGCCTGTGGTATGCGTGACGCTGCTCTAGCACCCGACGCAAATTGAGAATATGGTCTACAGAGTCCAATCCAGGGCGGAAATCTGCCTGCTCTTCCCTAATCCCGGATTCCCGTTCCGCCGTGAGGCGAACAATAATTGAGGTCAGTATTATGTCACTACTGGCGTTAAGCTAATACTCCTGTGGTTAGAACAATATGCGCGACTGCCATTCTTGTATATTGTCACCATGATCGATTCACTCCAGTTAGTCGGAACGGTTTCCTCCTTCCATACATGTTCGAACAGAGAGGTCAGTACTTTGTAGAGGACCTCACCTCCATCCTTAAATAGTGCAGGTGGGAAGGAATCCGGGCCAGCAGTACGACAACGATTGAGGACTGTGATCGCGTTTCGGATCTCAGCCTCCGACAGAGACTCTAAACTAACCGAGCATGGTTCATCCTGCAGCACCTGAATACGAACAGGTCTGGAAGCAAGGGGCAACTGAACTGACCTTAAAAGTGTTTCGCCCGACGAGCTACACGGCATTCCTTATTGTGCATCAGTGCATCCGCGCTGTCTCTGATTGTCTCACTGACGTCTGGTTTCATGGGACCAGTGGTGCGGATCAGCTGGAAGAGTTCGCGATAGTTCCCTACTGCTCCCGCCTCCTCCATTTCTTGATCCCGACTGGTCCACCAGGTTTCCTTGGCAGCGCGCAGGCTCCACCGTAGTTCGCGTCCAATAGTCCGTCTGGTCACATTGTGTTTAGAGCCAGCCGATAGTTTTCTTCTGAATTCCAACAGGTTCACCGACCTCTCGGATATCCAGTGCCTGGTGCGGTGACGATTGATAGTATCACAAGCAGATGCTCCAGCGTCGTGCATGGCGACCCAGATCCTATTCAATTGAAGCTCAGTCATTAGGACAAGGGAGCGAAAGTTCGGTACGCAGTGTAGCTCGGTAGGCTTGCATGACCGAGGGCTGGGATAATTTCTCCGTCGCCAATTGGGGGGAGGCGCTTAGTGCGCCTCCAGGTAAACTTTATGGAAAAGTGACAGCGTACCAAGGTACGATGGTCGTTGCTGTCCCCCGTAGCTCAGTGGTCTCAACCACGGACTGCCAACAGCCGAGCTGCGGATTCGAGCCCTGACAGTGTCCAAAGGAATGCGCACTGCTGACGATTCCCGAAGGGATGAAACGCGAGTATAGTGCTTTTCCGGGCATGTGACAGCTGTCTGAGCATAGATGTGACGAACTTCTACATATACCATTCAACTACCCCTACTACTTCTATATATATGATAAAAATCGACGGAAGTACTCCAGAAAGAGCGACAACCCAACGTGGGAGCACGCCACCTGTAACTTATGGCAATGTGATCTATTTGGGTCCATCGCTGGTCAGCTACAGGAGGACGCCAAGTGGCACTTCGGTGCTCAGTGTGTCTGAAAGCATGGCTACTGAAAAACAGTCGTTGCTCCGCCCACAGTAGCAAAAAACGCTCGTCGTTGATCGCCTCTCCCGAAATTCAGTCCATAATTACCACCTAGCTGATCTATTGAAGACCCATGTAACCTACTTGTGCATTCATACCTCCTGCAAATATTATGATATCTGAATTGGTAGTACAGCGTAGTCGCGTTGTAAGTTCGTGGCAGAATGTGTCCTTGGCAGCATCAGAACTGCAGTCGATGGGATCGTAAGCAGGAACCACAAACAAGCGGCGTATCATACCATTTCGTGTCTTCAAACGGGCTGCACACAAACGGCTGCTTACAGAATCCAACCAATTAACGATGACTCAGCGTTGGAACGGAGTACGAGACCTACCCCAGCTTGACCGAAGGCTGCCGCATCAGTGTCTCCGGATGCGTGCAACCAAACCGGGTGCAGTTAATTCAACAACCACATGAGGGTCATTGATCCTAGTTTCGGATACGCATCATACGTCAATACCCAGTGTATCCAAGGTGCGTGCGAGTGCAGCCTGTTAGTCTATGTCTTAGAGTGCAAACGTTGAACGCCGCCAAGGGAACGGGACAGCGCAGCCATATAAGGGACTGTTCCGATAGGCGTCCAGTTGGTGGTGCGTGAAGGTAGCTGCAGATGGTTCGACTCTAGTGGTATTGCGGCTGCTGCCGATTAAGGTTGAAACTGGAAGGAAGGGGAGTAATGAGGTTGGAAGGGGAGTAAGAGAGAGGTGGTAAAGAAAGATGCGAAGCGCCAGCAGTAACATGATTTCGCTTATCTGCCCTGCTGTATGCTGCAGATAAGGCGACGTTTGATGAGCTGCGCGACGGCCGATGCAGATGTAGTTGACGTATGAGGAAATAGTCATGGTTGTATGTGTGCTGAGATACTGCCAGGGCGTCCAGACCTAGGCAGGAAGACGATTAGGGTCCTCAACCAAAGCCTTCGGCTCAAAAACCTGCTCGCAAGGCAGTGCGGTGGCAAGGATGTCATTTTACTGAAATGGACACCATCCCATTTCAAACCTCCAACCTGGAGAACCAGGAGACTGAGTTTGTTTGACCTCCAATTATTGACCAACCTGGTAGGAGTAGCTCTCTCAGGGGGGCCGAAGGCACCATACAATATAGCTCAGTGGGTCAAAGAGGTACGCAAACCGTCACAGCACGTTAAGGTCTACTCTCTGTGCAACGGATGTCGTGTGCTATGACCGGAACTATTCAACATATCAACGAGCTTTCGACTGCGCTTCAAGCTGATTGTTGTATGCATAGCGATGGTCTGAAGCTGTGGTTGCAGATTAACAATATTGATGATGCTGACAGCTTCAAGGGACGCTTAAACTGCTGCATGACTGGTCAATCCTTTGGGGATTACGGAATAACTGAAAATTGCTTTGTTCCCTCAATTTTCGCTCTTGAACCACAC